AATTAACTTGGGTAAAGGCTTTTGCAGTCTTGAAAATTTCTCACCAATGGTATTCCTAGATAAGTCTTAACAAGTCAAACTTAAAATATCTATCATTAACTGGGAATAATTGGAAACATCTGTAGCTCCATCCATGTGAAGGCACATGTTTTATCTTCAAAACTTTTTTTTAACCACAGTCTGTCAAACATGATTTCTATTATTTTATGCACTCTAAAAAAACCCAAAAGTTTTCCGAATAGGGAATAAATAATGACTGAAGGATGAACTTGACAGTGATCCTGTTTTTAGCAATGATCAGTGCACCAGGCATTAGACTTTTTCTAGTCATTTATGATGTTCCTGCTAATTTGCATATGGTTTCTAAACCAATTTTAATAGTTGCGGAAGATAGTAAGTTTATTAACATTTTTACCAGTACCTTCTGCTGGTATCCTAAAAATACCAATCATCAATGAAAAATACCATCAATCAATGAACCTAGAAGTGTGTTGGAAGTAAAGGAAATAAAGGAAAACAAAATCCAGCAATCTGGGTTGCAGCAGCTTAGCTTAAATTTAGAGTTATTGGTCCTCTGGAGGTAACCAGAAAAAAGAAGAATTAAGCATTTGCTTCTGTTTTTTTTTTTTTCTTCCCCCCCCAATGTATTATTTGAAACTGTAACATATATTTTAAAATATAAAGTTACTTCAATACTGCTATAAATATTTTTCCTTAAAGCTTCATTTATTTACATTTCCTTGTAAAACATCCTCCACGTTCATTGTGTTGGTCACAGGAAGTGAGGTATAATGTGTGCCTAACAATCGGGAGGCACACTCACCTCCATTCCCCTCACCCATGGCAGACATGGCTAATCAACCACAGCATTCTTTGCCACTGAAGAACTCTGAATCTGGGGGTCTCAGGAATCCATTTCCAACCAGCAGCTGCTGGCATACAGGCTGCCGTCTACTTCCTGTCCTTGGTACCAGAGGAAAACTTGGGTCACACCCTCCCTATTTGCTAGCTAAGACATCTTGGGAAAGGCGTTTAACCTGTTTTGTAGCCCTCACAGGACTGTTACACAAATCAAAAGATTTAATTCCTGTGAACACATTTTGTAAACCAGGCAGTTGCAATCACAGGTTGTTTGAAGAAATCGGCTTAATTCTTTTGTAATGCGAAAAACACCATCTCTGTAGTTGAGCTCCTCCCTGGCTCTTCCCATAGATATTTATTTGATCTATTTTGTAAGTGTTTTTTTTTTCTTTCTTTTTTTTTTCTTTTGGTTTTATTAAAGCTGTGCACACTTGTACTCCTTATGAATGCGATATCTGATACTAACGAGAAGAAAATGCTGCTGAAGGAGAAGGCTAGAAGTCTCACACCTGGCTCATCATCACGGTGTACTGGCAGTCCTCTCTGCTCGGCTGGAAGCTGTGTGATTAATAGCCCCTCTTCCCAATTATGTGGATATTATACTCATCTTCCTTTGGCTGTAGATGGAAGATATCTTATGTATGTGCGATGCAAATGTGGACTTTGTGAATACTAATTTCCAAATCAGCTAGGAGTTGATTGGCAGAAAGCTGAACAACAGGGCGACAGGATTGCCAGGGGTCAGGAATCTGTGAAAGAAAGGCTGAATGAAGTTGGAGGAAATGAGCTAGAGAAATTTGGAATGTGTCAAGAGCAGTAGCTGGGAGAGCAGCAGTTTGGGAAAGCAGATCTAAGCCAGACACCCTGGAAGAGATTGGTGGAAGCAAGGAGAAGCAGGGGTTTAGCTGACTTTCCAGAACACGGGGTGGAGTTAAGAAGACAACGGTATGCCACAAACTGTACAAACTATATTCTCTGTCTACCACATCCCCAAAATGCACATATTTGCACCTGGGTTGAATCCTAATGAACCTCATCCTATTTTTGATTGTGACATTGTCAAGGTCAGGGATCCTGTCATTTGTTTTTCAGGATGCCAGCAGGGAACAAGCACTCAGAAAGTATTCACTGAACCCAGCTGAATGGAATGTTGGATTGTCTGGGGGGGTTATTTGGGTAACATGAAAAGGGAAGGAGCAGAAATCCAAGACACCATGTCATCTCTTAATCACGACAGCAGAAGCGATCAGAATGCCTATAGGAAGATCTAGTTGGAAGGCTTCCAATTAGTAGGCAGAGCAAATTATTCATGGTAAGTCCCATTTTGGTTTCCATTCTAAAACCTTAGTTAAGATATGCTAGGTTTTCTGTACAGCAGATGCTTTCAGCCTGAGGCTGGCTAGACAACAGCAAGCCTAAAGACAGAAAGGGATTTGAAAATTCTCCAAGTAACTGGCTTGGTACACTGTTGCTAACTGATTCTCAGATGATCCACAGCCGGCATCGCCAAAGAAAAATCCTGGGTGGAAGAACAGGTGGAAAGGGGAGATGTAAAGATACCACATCCTGTGATGGTTTGTTCAAGCTATTTCTTACTCAAATAGGGGCAATGTAGACAGCAGTGAGAGCCAGTCACTTGAATTATCAGTCACATCTGCTTTTAGGGACATTCCTTCCATCTTCTTTTCACTCCAGCCACTTTTACAGATGATTTTACTTTGGGCAGTATGTCAGCCTCATGTCCATTATGTTTTTGTTTTTGCTTTTGTTTTTGCTTTTTTTTAGCAAATAACTGTGTGCTAAAATTTTATGTAGGTATAATAAATCTATGAATATAGTTTATACATACACACATTAATTCAACTATTTAAATCAGTGACACATAACTAACCATGCACATGAGCTATATCCTTACAGCATCCTTGAGGCATAAATGGAAGTCTTCCAAAATGTGTGGGTCCAGTAATAACGGGACCTCCAGAGAGGATATTTTATCTAAAACCCCTCTCTAACACATTATCTGTTCCCAAATACCAGAAACGTTTTATTTTTCCTTTATGAGAATGAATACTTCATCTAAATGGATTTTAAATAATGAAATGAGTTTTCCCATCCCATCAAATTTAACTTATTTTTATTTCAAGATAATTAAAATGAACAGTTTTAGAGTTTCAGAGTATTGTAGAAGGGTGTATTTATTAAGAAGTGTCTCAGGTTGCACATATTCAAGGGAGACCACTCAATGTTTTAGCAAAAACATAATTCAAATATTCTGGAAATAATTTACGATGATCTCTCAAAATTCACATTCTCCCTTCTCCTTGGCCATTTTGCAGTTGGGTAGGACTGTGTGACTAGTTCTAGACAATGAACTGTGAACAATGAGCTTCTCTTCTCAAAGAGAAACATTTCTGTGCCAGTGTAGATACTCCAGATCTATCTATGCTCTCTGGCATGGCAACCCATGATGACTGAGATGGTGGCTTCTTCACCAACCTTGTTTTTTTAGTGGCGGTGATTGGCAGAACCTTCTACTGATCAGTAAGAATTAACATTTATGGTTTTAGTCACAATGATTTGGTAATGTTTACTAGCACAGAATACTCAGCCTACTATAATTTAAGTGTGTGTATGTGTATGCATGTGTGTGTATCTATATATTTATTTTAAAAATCTAATCAATATATATTTGATGTATATAATCTAATACATATACATTCATATGGTTTTATTAATTCCAGAAGAATTTTATGTGAACGAATTTGAGGCTATTCTATCCAGCACATTTTATGTCTTGTTATTTAAAAATTGTTGAGTTAACATCATTCTCAAAATAACTAACTGAAGAAAGACTCAAAAAGCAGATTCTAGAGGTGTCTGGATAGCTCAGTCATTAAGTGTCTGCATTTGGCTCACGTTGTGATCTCAGGGTCCTGGGATTGAGCCCTGCATCTGTCTCCTTGCTCCGTGGAAAGCCTGCTTCTCCTTCTCCCACTCCCCCTGCTTGTGTTCCCTCTCTTGCTGTCTCTCTGTCAAATAAATAAATAAAGTCTTAAAAAAAAAAAGCAGATTCTACTTGCATTATTTGTCATTAACAATTTTAAGGCTATGTACAGCAGTTTTAGATCTACATGGAGTCTAAGAAAGATATGTAGATCTGTACATATAGGCTATGTAAGAAATAATTGGAAACATGTATAATAGTCTTTCTTAAGAAAATGATATATTTGTTTCACATTGTCACAGTGATACAACATAAACTAATATATATTTTTTTTAAGATTTATTTATTAGGGAGAGAGAGCTCATGAGTCAGGGGAGGGGCAGAGGGAGAGGGAGAGAGAGAATACCCAGCAGACTCCTTGCTTAGCAGGGAGCCTTACGCAGTGCTCAATCCCATGACCCCAAGATCATGACCTGAGTTGAAATCAAGAGTGGGATGCTCAACTGACTGAGCCACCCAGGCACCCCAAAAATAATATGTTTTATATAACAGACATATATTATACAAATATGCTCTAGAAATACTGTATACAAATATGGAGGAATCCTTTATAACTCTTACTGCCCCCTGCTGGGGGGTTTCTTTTTCAGTTTAATACAATATAAATGGAGGCATGACAGTCCTAGAAGCAGAATTTATGAAAAACTGGATTGTTTTGAAAAAGGGGGGAAATGATAGAAGGTGATGAGTTGTACTTCAGGAAATTCTAGGAAGAAGAATAAGAGCAAACAGAGAGGAGAATTCCCGGGCTAGCAACACAGAAAGAAGCACTAGGGGAAAAATATCTATTGAAATCATATAAATTTTACATCATGTTAGTCATGAAGACTCTCTGATCTTTCTGCAGGAATCTTTGGAAAAATCTTATTTACCAAAAGCCAAATGATCAAACCCTGACTGATTGAATTTCTTACACAAAATGCTGAAGATGCCATAGCCTATTACTAATTTACCGATGGATGACTTTTTACTATGCCCTGGTTTAACCTGAAAAATGTCTATAGAAGGGGGAATTAATTAGAAAAAATCAAATAGCCACACTTTATCCACAGATTCCATTTGTGTGCACTAAATCTGCATGGAGATAAAACAATTCTAAAAGCACTAGAAGGAGTGGTTGATGGTCAACACTTACTGCGAGAACAATCTGGAGGGAACTATGAGCCACTTCTATGTACTGGTACTCCAGAAAACACCCTGAGACCGTGATGTAACGATGGTCTTCTGGGGCCCAGTCTGGTGCAGGTGTCACTGATGTTACTGTACATCCTGGTCCATTCTCCATCCACCAAGATCGGTGCATTGAAATATTAAAAGTCAGGATAAGGTCTGTTTCCTGCAAGAAGTCAATTTATAAGGATGAGAATTACTTTACAAATGTTAGTCAGCTTATTTTAAGGGACTGACTTGGTGTTTTCCAATTGGAAATGTGTTTTTTCCCCCCTCCCCTTACCCTATTTTATGGACAGAAAGGAAATATCCCAAGTAAACTATTAGTTCCACTTGAAAGTTATGTGTCTATAGATTCCATTTATGAGGTTTGCCTGACTACAACATAAATAAAAATATTTATTGGTAAAATTATCAATGACTGACATTAATTGTAACATTGAAGAGTTCTTACTCATGGGGACTTATAAATATTACAAAAGGAGTGATTTAAACTATTTTAAAACGTGAAGTTCATCTTATTTTAAATCAGCTACTTTTTCAATCTCAGAATATTTACCTTATATACATTTAAATATTAAAGTTGTACTTCAATTTGGCAAAATTTAATATAATGTGGCTAAAACTAAAATTTGTAAGAACTTTACTTAATAAAACATATCATTATTTGGTCAAAATGTTTCTTAGGAAATATTAGCAAATTCTTCCAGAGTAGAGATAATAAGTCAACAACCCTTTCATTGAAGTTCAGCATGTTAGGTAATTAATGGAATAGGAGGTAAATTTCTGTACTTAGAGAGTTTATAATTACATACACAAGCAGGTAGACACATGTTGTCTTACAGAAAGAGAATGACTGAAAGAAATTGGCAAACACATTCTGCTACACAGTAAGTCAAGGGAAGATGAGTCCTAACAGAGAGGGTCAGTGGTAGAAAATAAAATTATTTCACTCTCAGGATAGTGCTACAAGGTAATAAATACCAACTATTTTTACTCCAAAATGAGATGTTGGGTTAACTAAGAAGATCCTGCATAGACAATATCATAAATCAGGTTTTGTGACCTTGAACACTCACTCACACAGAATGCCTGAAAAAGTTCAGCTGAAGTGGTCAGGGGATTTGGAGATTGGAAGGATGATTCCTCTGGAGTGAACTATGGTATGAGTCACATGATCTCCAGGGAGGGAGCAAGTTAATCCTCTTTCTTTCCAGCCTATTGGCAAAGGCTTCAAAGCACCTCTTGCAACCGGGAGGTAGAGCAGACTAGTTTCTGACTCAGGCCGGATACATTTTAAAGAAAGCCTGTGGGTAGAGCTACCTGCAAATGGCCAAACAAAATGTTTCTACACTTTTTGATTACATTTATTGGTTTTTGAATGTTGAACCAGGCTTGCATATCTGACACAAATTCCTCTTGGTGTGGTGTGTACTTCTTTTCACACATCATTGGATTCATTTTGCTAGTATTTTTTTGAGGATATTTCCATCTGTATTGTAAGAGGTATTGATCTGTACTTTTCATTTCCTGTAATGTCTGTGTCTGATTTTGATATTAGGTTAATACGTGCTTCTTTGGAATGAGTAAGAAAGTTTTCATCTGCTTCTATCTTCTGGAAGAGATTGTAGAAAATTGGTATGATTTCTTAAATGTTTGGTAGATTTACCAGTGAACCCATTGGGTCTGATATTTTCTGTTTTGGAAAGTTGTTTATTACTGATTCAATTTCTTTAATAGATATAGGCCTATTAAAATTGTCTATTACTTCTCATGTGAGTTTTGGTAGATTGTGTCTTTGAAGGAATTTGCCTAGGTTATCTAGGTTATTAAATTTGTGGTCATAGAGTTGTTAGTAACATTCCTTTATTATCCATCCGATGTTCATGGGATCTGTAATGATGACCCCTCTTCCATTTCTGATATTAGTAATTTGTTTCTTCTCTAATTTTTTCTTATTGTGGCTAAAGTCTTATCAATTTTATTGATCTTAAAGAATCCGCTTTTGACTTAATAGATTTTCTCTATTGTTTTCTTGTTTTGAATTTTATTTCTGCTCTGATTTTTATTATTTCTTTTCTTTCTGTTTACTTCGGATTTAATTTGCCTTGCTTTCCTTAAGATAGAAGCTTAGTTACTGATTTTAAATCTTTCTTCTTTTCCAACAGAAGCATTTAATTCTACAAATTTCCTTCTAAACACTGCTTTCATTGCATTGCATAGTTTGATATGTTGTATTTTCATTTAATTTATTTGAAATAAGTTTTAGCTTCTCTTGAGATTTTTTTATGATCCATGTGTTATTTAGAAATATACCTTTAATTACCAAGTGCATGGGGATTTTCCAGTTTTCAGTTGTTGATTTCTTTACACTTTTGTGGCATATTTTTCACTATCTTTCTGTACTGTTTCTATCACTAATTCTTTTTTAAACTGACCAACAGAACTATAAAAACACATTCAATATTAATTGAATTGGTTTAAAGTGTACATGATCTAACACTTTAAACCAATCAATTCCTTCTTTGTCTGTTTTTTCCTGGAGATATCTGAACTGGAATCTCACAGTCTTCTTCTCTCATCAGTCTCTATGCAACTGATGCATAAATTTGGACATGGGACTTCACTTAATATCATTAGTTCTCTCTTACATTGGATCCCCAGTTTCCTATATTTGACTAAGATGACCTTAACATTCCCCTCAGTTTGACTAAACAGGTTTCTTCCTGAGTATAGACCTTGACTACACTTTCTTTAGAGCATTTTCTTTAGAAAACTTGCAATTATAAATTCTTCCTTTGTTCCTTCAAGATGTAAATTTTATAAAACTCAGGAATGTCTTTCTCAAGTCCCTGGTAGCCATTTCTTTGAAATATAATTGTCAAGAAAGATAACATCAATATCTCTCAGTCTCTGTGGATGGGTAGAAGTCTAACTGTGAGAAGCAAAAATTAACAAACACAGATGACCTAATCACATTGACTAACCTCCCCAACAATGTCCTCAAGTACTTTTCCATTAGCTCAGCCCAGCATTTACAAATCCTCCCAACTTTTGTTTCAGTGGAATTGAGTTTAAGTTCTCTCCCCTGTAACAGTCATAAATAAAATTTCTTGCCTGTTTAACTTGGCCTCTCTCACCTCTCTCTTCCTTACTATGGTAGTTAGAAAAACCAGTCTTTCCATTTTTAACAATTGTTCAATGCAATTTTTCTTAACAGCTCTCATGTCTCTTTCTAGGTTTTTTCCCTTGCTTTGCAGAGTACAAAATTCATTAGTTTCCTAAGAATAGGTGAGTGATGTTAAGCCTTATGTGTTTTCAGTCAGCTTTTATATTAATCGGTATTTTGGGTGGATATATGCTTCTTTGTTGAAGATGATTTCCTCTCAGAGTGGGTGAATATTTCTCCATTATCTTCTGGTTTCTTTTATAACAGTTAAGAATCCTGATTCCATTTTGTTTCCTGCAATTTTTTATGTAACTGTTTTCTTTTTTCTGATCTCTTACATTATTTTGTTTTCAATAGTGAAATATTTCAAAAATATTGAAAAATGCAGAGGGTCTTACAGCAATATCTTTATACCCATCACTCAATCTCATTAAATCTTATGTTATATTTGCTTGTTGTCTTTCTTTTAATAAGATTTTATACATAAAAATAATGCTGCCTCTGTGCTCCTCTTAAATATTATTTCCTTCTTTCCTTCTCCATAGATAATTACTATCATGATTTTGGATTAATACTCTCATGAAAGTTCTTTATAGTTTTACTAAATCTTTACATATTCATTAATAATATAAAATATTGTTTTAAGTCTTAAAATGTGCATATTCACTCATGTGGAACCTAAAAAACCAAAACAAATGAATAAAAAAACAAACAAAAATTAGAATCAGACTTGTACATACAGAGGACTGATGGTTGCCAGAGGGGAGGTGGATGGGTAGGGTGGGCAAATGGGCAAAGGCGAGTGGGAGATACAGGCTTCCAGTTATGGAGTGAATAAGTCATGGGAGTAAAAGGAAAATACAGGTTATATAATCAATGGTATGGTAATAGTGTATGGTGACAGATTAGCTGCCCTTGTGAACACAGCATAATGTGTAGACATGTTGAATCACTATATTGTACCCCTGAAACTAATTTTTTTTTTTAATCTTTATTTATTTGATAGAGAGAGATCACAAGTAAGCAGAGAGCCAGGCAGAGAGAGAGAGGGGAAGCAGGCTCCCCGGTGAGCAGAGAGCCCGATGTGGGGCTTGATCCCAGGACCCTGAGATCATGACCTGAGCTGAAGGCAGAGGCTTAACCCACTGAGCCACCCAGGTGCACTGTTAGTCAGACATTTGACTTCCAGGATTAACCTCTTACATTCTTATCTTTTCTTCCCCATTGTTCATATCTTTACCAACTCCTTACAGTGTTATACTGAATTATATATTTTATTTTTAATATTTTGAATTTTAGGAGTTAATTATTGCCTTTGTATACCTAATATTTTTTAATTGTTTCTGATTTTTCTTAGTTTTCTGATTTATTTTTTTAATTGTGTTTTTCACATCAGTTTTGTTTTATCTGAGTTAATTATTTTTACTAAATAATTAAGTTGATAAATTAGTAAATATTAATAAAATAATTATCAAGCATCTACTATGTGCTATATGCAACATTCCTGCTTTTATAAGTGTTCATCATGCAGTAGGGAAAATGGACAACAAATACATAAATATATAAAAATATCAGCATAGCAATGTAGTGATCTGAAGGGGCACATGCTCCTCAATGTTTATAGCAGCAATGTCCATAATAGCCAAACTATGGAAAGAGCCTAGATGTCCACCAACAGATGAATGAATAAAAAAGTTATGGTACATATATATGTATATGTTGGAATATTATGCAGCCATCGAAAAAATGAAATCTTGCCATTTAAAAGGATGTGAATGGATAGAGGGTATTATTGTAGGCAAAACAAGTCAATCAGAGAGGGACAATTATCATATAATCTCCCTGATTTCCTCAAATCAGAAGATTTGAGGGGAAGATCATAGGGGAAGAGAGGGAAAAATGAAATAAGACAAAACCAGAGAGGGAGACAAATCTTAAGAGACTCTTGGTCTCAGGAAACAAACTGAGGGTTGTTGGAGTGGAGGAGAGTGGGAGGA